CAAACTGCGGCTCGCGAGCCACATGCGGCTCTTTGGGCCCTTGAGTGTGGCTCTTCCACAAAATACCATGTGCGGGCGCGTGTGCAGTGCGATTGAAACTTCGTGGCCCATGCGCAGAGGTCGGTTTTCGGCCTGGGCGAGTCTATTTTGAAGAAGTACTGTTGATATTTGGCTCTGTTGACTAATGAGTTTGCCGACCACTGTTCTAGGTTGTTAGGTTAGGACCTGGAGGGTGCAAAGAAGAAGAAAGCAAAAATTCACTGAGTTTATCTAGACAAGAGTCTAAATTTGTGATTTTGAGTGTGTAACATTCTAATTGGTAAACACAATTGTTTCCTGGTCATTGTGCCATTGGGGTTTTTCAAAGTTCACTCTGTGTTCTTTGCTGTTAGGAACATCTTTGAACAAAACATTTTTGGGATTTTTCCTTTGAATTTATTCTCCAAAGTGGGCCTAACTATAAAACTTTATGATGAAGTCAGCAATCAAGAATGTTCTGTTCAGCTCAGCCAGTGGTGCTCAGTGGTTGAGCGTTGACCTATGAACCAGGAGGTCATGGTTCAATTCCCGGGTTGCAGGCTCGATCCCTAGTGGAGGGCATGCAGGAGGCAGCCGATCAGTGATTCTCTGTCATCATTGATGTTTCTATCTCTCTCCCTTCCTCTCTGGAATCAATAAAAGTATATTTAAAAAAAATAAAGAAGAATGTTCTGTTGAGTTTGTGTAGGATATATTCATTCTTCAAGCATCTCTGTGTGCTGGCAAGATCCGGGGTGGGCTGGGGAGGGGTGGGGAAGATGGGGCAAGTCAGGCACAGTCTGCACATTCAGAGACCTCTCCTCCTCCCCTGAGCCGTAAGGATGCCTTCAGAGGCTTTTCAAGCTCTTCTGAAGTTTTTTCCTTGTGATGAGAACTTTTAAGATCTACTCTCTTAACAGATTTCGAATATGCAATACAGTGTTATTAACTATATTTAACAATGATTAACCTTTTTCAAAGAGCGCTCTGGCTGCGGTTGGAGGACTGACTATGGGAGAGCAAAAATAAAACTGGAGGCTTTTGTGCTGAGCCAAGAGGATCTTTCACTTCTCAAATTCTGTAGGTCACAGTGGTCGTAAAGGTGCTGCTCTCCCACAACACCTGCTCTAGCCTCTGTCTCTCAGCGCAGCAGGCCCATTGCTGGGCGACTCTGAGGGCAGGGGGACCTGGGCCCTTCCGTCCACCTCACCCTCTGCCCTTTCCTCCCAAGATTTTCATATTTTCTCTCCACACGAGGACCATATTTTGAGGGGAATCCTTTGGGGAACACCTTGTATTAAGACCCCAAGGAAAATGTTAGCTTTTCTTGACTGGCTTCAGAAACAGAAGCCTCATGTTTCCCAAATGGATTTATGGCCAGAGAGTAGAGATGAGGGGCCACGTTGGGTTGGGAAAAGCCACCTTAAGGGGATTCAGTTTGATAAGAACCTTGAACTAGGAACCAGAAACCTGGCTCCACTCTTCGCATAGCAGTGACTATTGTCGATACATTTGAACACGTTACTTAAGCTTTTTGGATCTACTTCCTCATCAGCAGAGACCATGCCTGTCCTGCTAACCTCATGAGGCCCATGTGGGGTGCAATAAAATAAGGATGTGGAAGCACTGTGTCCAGAGGTGCCATGGAAACCTGCGCTCGTAGCACACCTTTTTAGGAAACTACAGATACTGGTAGCTTGGTGCTGTTTGTATGAGCTCAAATAATTGTCTGTGTAACACCCGCAGCAGGAGTGCGAGTGTTTTCCTTGGTCACACAGCCCTACGAGGAAAGAACGTGCAGTGTGCCACGGATCCGGAGGACTGACTCTCCCTTCCCTCCCCCACCAACTGATTTGAGACATAGTTTACGCCCCACTGTCTGGCCAAAACATTTCAGACTCTGTGTGGGCTGTTCCTGGAAGGTTATTGGCTGAAGTCCCCATAGCAAAGGTTAGGGAGGTTGGCTGGGAGTCACCAGGAGACCTGCAAACCATCTCTCTCTCTCTCTCTCTCTCTCTCTCTCTCTCTCTCTCTCTCTCTCTCTCTCTCTCACACACACACACACATACACATGGCACAATTACAGTCGTACATCCACAGTGTCTGTGGATGTTATACATGTAAATTATTAAAACTGTGACAATTGCCTCAAAGTTTTGAGAAGGGAGTGACTCATTCTGCCAAGGAGTGGGTCAAGAAAGGGTTCCCAGGGGAAGGGGAATTTGAGCAGATGCTGGTGTGATACCTGGAGACCTGTACATAAAAGAGAGGAGGGGGCTTTGCAGCGAAGACCAGGAGTGCGAGACGGCCCGGTGGGTTCCGGGAGCTGGTGTGGTGAGAAATGAGGCTGCTAGGATCGGTCTAGGCCAGACTCGTGGAAAACTGCTGTGTGAACTGCTTGGTTTATCTGAGTAAAGATGTTGAATTCTTCTTCTTGTGCAATATTTTGCCACCGATAGAGCCATTCCAGGGCCCGGGGCCCGAGTGTTGATGAAATGTTAGGGTGGGTCCCTGCAATGCCAAGCATAGTGCCTGTTTAAATATTTATTGAAATGATGAAAACATGACAGTTATCTCGGAGCTTCAGAGAAGGTGTCTCTCTGAGATCCCCAGATACCCGTGCTCTGTGGTGTCAGCATGCTGAGCAAGCAGGCAGAACCAGCTGGCGGCTGCTGCAGCCGGGCTCGAAGTCACGCCCACAACCAGAGCAGCTGCTGAGGACTTTGCCTTCCCCACCGAGTTGAAGTGGAGGTGGGGTCCATTCTCAGGAGCACCTTCTGTGAAAATGGTACCCTTTCAGTAGCCACAAACATATTTTTGATATCGCGTAATCGAGTGTGTGGTAAAATTATTGGAGTTGGTGACATCGCCCTTGACCCCAGGCCTTGCTTCCCTCTGTCTTGTCCAAGCCCTCTTCCCAGATGTCCCAGGATTAGCTGGAGCTCATGAATATGATCACTAGGTTGACCTCTAATTTCCTGTGTGTTCTCTAATCTGGGGGCTCATATCCAGCCTGCATACAAGAACAGGGGTGTCTATAAAAAAGAAGGAACTTTTACCATTTGCAACAGCATGGATGGAACTGGAGAGCTTTATGCTAAGCGAAATAAGCCAGTCGGAGAAAGATAAATATTACATGATCTCACTCATATGTGGGATATAATGATCAACATAATTTGATGAACAAGAATAGATCCAGAGACAAATGGCAGGGGAGGGTGGGGCTTAGAGAGCAACCAAAGGACTTGTATGCATGTATATTAGCATAACCAGTGGACACAGACACTGGGGTGATAGGGGCTTGCCTGGGGTGGGAATGGCTGGGGGGGGGGGGGGGGGTTAAGCAGGGAGAAAAGGAGACATATGTAAAATTTTAGACCAAAAAAAAAAAAAAAAGAACAGAGATGTCAGGAGAAGGCATCTTCCACCCCATCCTGGGCTCTGAGACCCATGGGTCAGGAATGTTTTCTGCATTCCTGATCAAGGCACTTTCCATGGTGCCGCCTCGCCTTCTTGCCATATTCCTCAGTGTTTGTCTCCTGGTGATAGCAAAGTGACATTCAGAGGTTTTTACATCTAGACAAGGCTTTGTTCTGTTGTAAAATCTTAAAACCAAAGAAAACTGTAAGATTGCATCTTTTAGGATATTAGGGACATAGTTTATTCAAATGGTTTCCTACTAGGGACTAAAGAGAAAGAAGTCCATAATTTAAAAAAATCTTTCCGTCTCTTTTTTTCCTGGCATTTGCCCACAGCCCCCATTCCACACCTTCCAATTTTTTGGATTGTAGAATTATTGGATTATTTTGAAGCAAATCCCAGACATCCTATCATTTCATCCATGAATATTTTAGTATATATTTCTAAAAGATGAAGACTTTGTAAACATTAATGCTTCTGTTATCACACCTAATAATTTCTTTTCTTTCTTTTTGATAAAAATTGATTTCAGAGAGAGAGAGAAGAAATGGGGGAGAGAAAGAGAGAGAGAAAGAGATATTTGCTGTTCTACTTATTCATGCATTCATTGGTTGATTCTTGTATGTGCCCTGATTGGGGATCAAACCTGCATCCTTGACATATCAGGATGATGCTCTATCCAACTGAGTTTCCCAGCCAGAGCCCCTAAAAATTTCTTAATATCATCCAATAACCTACCACTATTCAAATTTTCCTGTCTCAAAATCTTTTAACATTTTATTTTAATCAGGTTCCATTGTAATTTTTTATAAGTCTCTTAAGTTCTTAAGTTTTTTTTTACAAATCTAGGTTCTCTTATCTTTATCTCTTTTTTTTTCTTTGTAATGTATTTATTGAAGAAACGGGGTTTTTAGCTCTCTTTAATTTCACATAATAAGGTTTTGCTGACTGCATCCTCATAATATTGTTAATATCTTCCTCATTCCTCTGTATTTCCTGTAAACTTTTCTTGTGCACAGAGATTTGTTCAGGACTCAGATTCAGGTTTTTGGCAATTATACTTCATAGGTAGTTTTGTGAATGAGCTTCTTTCAGGAGGTACAAAATATTTAGTTGTCTCTTCGTGTTGGTTAATTGAGTTTTTAAATGTGTTAAATATTTTCGAGGGTTCAGGTCCCTTAATGTTTAGTTGGGCCCAGGTGGTAGGTGAGAAAGTGGGAAAGAGTATGTGATGTGCTCACCAAGTTCTTTCGCTGTTGAGGTCTGATGATGGTGGGGTTTTATATTCTGACTGAATTATTTGCTTCTGTTGGTTCCTCCAGTCTTTGCTGGAAGATGAATCAGTGTGAATCTGGTGTAGAGCTCAGCCATGGCTTGTTTCTCTTGGTCATAAAAGAACTGTTCACTTAAACGTTATGTGAGGAGAGGCTCAGACTCTTTGGAAGTTTTGTTTGTTTGTATTTAGAGGTGTTCATTGGTTTGGCTAAACTGGCTACTTTTGCTGATATTCTCCAGGTGTATGTTTTCATTTAATTTGTAAGGTGATTTTTTTCTTCTTTCAGGATCTCATTTTGCCCAACGGTGGAACGCCAGCAGGCACCTCGAGCCCAGCTTCTTCATCTTCCCTTCTCAACAGACTTCAGCTTGATGATGACATCGATGGCGAGACCAGAGATCTCTTTGTCACCGTTGATGATCCCAAGAAGCATGTCTGTACAATGGAGACCTATATCACTTACAGGATCACCACCAAAGTAGGTCCCTTTGTTATCTTGTTCCCGTGTTGATTGGTCTTGGAGAATGAGAGTCGTCCCTCCATGATTTCTGCCTTTGCTTTCTCTCTCCTTTTGTACAGTTCTGTTCCCTTTTTATAATTGTGGGTATGGCTTTCTGAGAGAGTAGATACATTCAGATTAAAAGGATTATATGTAAGTGTTTTTAATCTTAAAATGCAGGAGAAATTGTGACTGCAGTCTTTCAAAGAAAACTTTAATCCTTAAATAGTTGATTCTTCAACAACATGGGTTTGAATGGTGTAGATCCACGTATACATGGATTTTTTCATTAAATACTGTTTAGGTATTTTCATAATAAAATTTTCTTTTCTCTACATTACTTTATTGTAAGAACACAGCATACACTACATACATATATAACATACAAAATATGTGTTAATTGACTGTTCACATTATTGGTTAACAGTAGGCTTTTAGTAGTTAAGTTGTTTGAGAGTCAAAAGTTATATGGATGTGTGTGCGGGGATCAGCACCCCTAACCCCTGTGATTTTTCAAGGGTCAACTCTACTTTCACTTATTTTCTATCATGATACTGTTTAATGTATTATTATCACATTGCATTTGAAACTTATAAATCGTTGTATTAACCTAAATCTCTGTGATGATCCCATGATTATAATTTGGTATAATTAGACTTGATAGTAGGGGGAGAAGGAGTAAGAGAAGGATGGAAACTAATAGTTACGGACTTTTTGATATGTGCCACTATGATATTACTGCCTTGTCCTCTCACACCTGGTTCACATTTGAAAATTTGTCACATACACATGCACTTACACAGTGTTCCCCCATTGCCATTGCCACTGGGTACCTACTGCTTCCCAGGCACTATGGGCTAGGTGCTTGGATGTGTATTATCTCCTCAGAAGTCCTAGGTCAGTGATGGCGAACCTATGACATGCGTGTCAGAGGTGACACGCGAACTCATTTTTTTGGTTGATTTTTCTTTGTTAAATGGCATTTCAATATATAAAATAAATATCAAAAATATAAGTCTTTGTTTTACTATGGTTGCAAATATCAAAAAATGTCTATATGTGACACGGCACCAGAGTTAAGTTAGGGTTTTTCAAAATGCTGGCACGCCGAGCTCAAAAGGTTCGCCATCACTGTCCTAGGTTGATATAATGTATTCCCATGACTTATTTCCAGTTACTTATTTTTTCCCCTAGGGTCAGCTTATTTTTTAACCTGCAGTCAGTGAAATGCAAAACCTGTTTTTCTTGAATTTGTGCTCTGAACAGCTGGATGACAAGGTGACTGCCTGCCTGGCTGCACAGCGATGCTGCCTCCCTGGATGTTTTCCCACCTTTACTTTACTTCTGGGCCCTGCAGTTCACCTCCCAAATGCTAATCCTGCAGGGCCTTGTTTCACAGGCTCCCGCACGTGCTTGCTCTTGTGCCTCTTCTCTTTACTTGCTTCCTTCCCCTTTCTCATTGTGGTCTTATTTCCATTCCTTTTCCTGGGGCTGTTTGATTTCCTATAAGTCAGATAATGTCTCAGTATAACCTTTTCCAAGCTCCAATCCCACATTTTCATTTGGCTGCGACGTTAACACCTCCAGGTAAACTTGTTGCAGTATTAAGTTTTACTTATTACTGTCAATTCCACTTATGATCTCAGACCAGAGTCTTTTTCTCTTCCTGTTCCAAATAGCGACACCAGGTTTAATGTCTCGGTGATGCATTTGGAGCCTTCTTCCTGAATGTTGTGTTAAAGATTCGTAGAGAAGTGCGAGGATGAAAGAGAGAGGACAAACAGTGACATAGGGTCCCAAACACCTGATCCTGTCCCAGGGCCCCTGCTTCTACTGAGGTTCTCAAACAAAGTTAATGGTCAGAGGACAAGGTCGTACATATTGGTCGTAATGGTCAGCGTACAAGGTCGTACACTCTTAGTTTGAGCTTTGATTCCCAGTCCTACTTCAGATTCCTAATAACCAAAGCTGGACAAAATGCAGAGCTGCTTTTGTCTGAGCTAAAATGAGCCAGGGATTCTGTTAGAGTGTCATCCTGATTTGGCAAGGTTGCGGGTTCGATCCCTGGTCAGCGCACACACAGGAATCAAACAATGAGTTTGATTAAAAAGTGGAACAACAAATCTCTCTCTCTCTCTATCCCTATCTCTCTGTCTCTCTTTCTCTCTCTCTCAAAATAAATACATAAAAAATAAAACAGAAATGAGTCTAGAGCTGAGAGTCAGTGTAGGCAAAGCAAATCTAAGTTGTGGGTTTTTTATCTCCCTAATGGCGGAGAGATCTTTTCAGGCTGAATTGGCGATTTTCTCAGCTGGCTCCTAGAAAGTAACATTATCATAATAGCTAATTATTGAGCACTTACCATGTGCTGTATTTGTTTGCAATATAAACCCTTTAAATTTTATTTTATATAAGTAATATGTGCTCTTTGTGGAAAACACAAGCAAGCTAAAACAGTGAAATAAATTATCTATAAGCTCTCTAGCCAGAAATAATCACTTACAACTTTAGGAACCATTTGTCTCTATTCATTTACAAAAATGAGTATTTTACATGCTGTCAATTCACTTACTATTTTGCAAATGTCTTTCAATGCTACTAAATGCCAGTAAACATGCTTTTATGCTGTCATTTCTGAGTCTGCAATAGTGCTTTGCGGTATGGATGAGCTGTCACTTATTTTGTGCTAAGTGCTTTAAATGTATCATCAGTTAGTCCTCATATGCAATGAAATAGGTACCGGTGGTATTTTTATTTTGCAGATGAGGAATCTGAGACATAGAGATAGTAAGAAAATTGCTCAGAGACATGCAACTAATACATGGTGAAGCTAGAACTTGGACTCAGGACATGACATGATTTTTAAGAGAGGATTCCCTCCCACCCCCACCCCTCACCCCCGCCTTCCCCTGCCTACCCAAGTGCGGCTGTTGACACTGACGATGATGTGGAAGCAGACTGGAGGTTAAAAGCCATCCTCCTCTTGTCTTTTACCCTATCACCAGTCATTACCAACACTTATGCCCCAACTGGTTTTTCTTTTCAAATGCCTCAGTGGTTCAACAGGCTGAGTCTTGCTGAAAGGTCAGTTATAGACGAGGATTACAAAATAGACGTAAGATTTAATGGCAAGAAGGTCATTGCTGACTGGGGAGAGCAGTGCCATTGATGTGGTGGGGTAGAGCCCAGCTTGCAGTGGGTTAGGGTGTGAGAGGAAAGAAAGGCGTTATGAGTGGTGGTAGTTTGGCAAGGAAAGTGAGACTAAGGAAAGAACAATAACCGAAGGGGGATGTGAATTTGAGGGGGTGGGCTTCTCGTTTGTTTTTTAAGGATGGATGAAACTTGTTTAAGTGCCAGGTGGACAGTGTGGATGGAGAAGGAGACATCGGGTTGAAGATTGGAGAGTAGAAAGCCACTGAGGAGGTAGTACCCTGAGCAGAAGTGGAGGGAGGGAGGGAGTGGCCTCTAATGAGGGAGGTGGACTTTTTTCATTGTTTCTGGAGAAAGGAGGGGAGTCTTTTTGTGGCAGAAAGTTGAGGGTTCTTTGCTTAAAGCTGCAGTTTTCTCTATGGAGAGGTATGAGGTCTTCTGCGGGGAGTGATAGGGAAGTTTTGAAGTGGGGCTTCCGAGTTCTGAAAACTCGTACAGGCTTTGTATTAACTGATGTGGAAAATGAGGAAGAGAGTTGATTAAGGAAGTAAAGAGAGACTGTGCCAGTGTTGAGGGTCCGGCTGGGGAATTTATTGCGTTGACCAGTGTGTTTGCCTGACTTTGTTTTTCCTTCAGGAATGTGCTCACACGCCCTGGTCTATGTGAGCAAGAAGTGGATGGCTGCATTTCTGCGAGAGTTGTGGGATGGACAGTGGGGAAGGGGCCTATTGGCAAATCAGAGGCCCAAGTGATGGCTCATGGAATTGACGCTGAGTAAGGAAGGAAGAAAAGACAGAAGTGAACAGAATATCAAGGAACTGTAGGTCCCAAGAGGCTGAAAACCCAGGGAAATGGAGCCTGCTGGGGGGCTCTGTGGGGTCTCAAAGAACATCCTTTCAACTGCCTTCTAACTGTGGAGGAGACCAAGGCTCCCGTAGGCTTCGTGGTGTTTCGGGACTGCTCGTGGGCAGGGTTCCTCAGGCTGCCTGCTCTCAATCTTTCCATGATCCGTATGCCTGAAAAGTTGTCATCCGTGATTTGTTTTTCGTATTTAAGTATTCTTCCTCCCACCTTCCAATTCTACAGTGCTAATTCCTTTGGGGAATCTTCCAATAAATCACAAAAACCTAAGTTAAATGAAGTTCCCCACATCTTCCCATCCTTATACTCCATCATAGGAGAGGTTTGTGTTTCATGGGCATAAGCTAACCTGAGGGACTCTGAAAAGGGGAAAAGATGCAGAAAGAGTTAGTTGGGGTCCAGTCCAAGGCTGAGTCCTTTCACTGCACGATTTTACCCAGACTGTGTGAGCACAGTTTTCGGGGAGGGTGAAATCATAATTTTCAACGCCAAAGACTTTAACAGCTTTTTCTTTGATGAGTAACTCTTTCCTATGTGTTTTAAAGATATTCTTGGTGGTGTGGTTAAAACAGACTTTTGGCTCTAAAGGGTAATTTTACAAAATGTAGCTTGAGCCATTTTTATTTGGTACTTTAATTCCTGAGAAGTGTGACTGTCATACAGTTGGTACCCCCATAGAGAAGATGGTTTAGCTGAGACATAACTTTAGTTTGGGCAAATCATTGTGTAAAAATCTTGTTTTCCTATAAATTAATTTAATTTCACTTAACATTGATTTTCATGATCAAAATGCTACAATCACATTTCAGAAAAATTAAATTCAGGAAGGGGGATGAGAGACATATTTTTATTATACAGTGACATTTTGGTATTATTTACTTGTAGATTTTTTTTTTCTTATCAACTGAAATACAATATAATTTCAAGGTTATGGCTCTGGCCAGAATATGGCAAATGAGGCAAAACCTTTTCCATTTTTATCTAATCTGGCTCCTAAATGAGCTGATGGCCTGTTCTTTCTACTTTTTGTTTGTTCGTTTCCCCCCTGCCTTTGGCAAAACTTGTGAACATATTTATCAGAGAGTGGAGATGTGATTCCTTTTCACAGGCTCCCAGATTCGGATTCAGTAGCAATAGCTTCAGTGGAGTGATTCGGCTAAAAGAAATGCTCAAACTGAAGCTTGGAGGAAATGAATCAAATGTTTCTGAACACGGTTCTGAGGGAGAGTTGAGTTCCACTTCCTGAGGGTAAAAAACAAAACAAAACACCTCACGCACATGGAGCTTTTCATTCTAGATCCTTGAATTTTTAACTGGGCCCTGTGGCCCAGACCCTCATTCCGTGCTGGTGGACCCTGCCCTTTGGCTGTGTGTTTGGTGGAAGGAAGGTGTGTTCTTGCCCAGTCTAGTTATTCACGGAGAGTTTTTTCCCTCCTCTTCTGCCAAGATGGGCTCCTATTCCCTTATGCTCATTTTGCTTTATTCTTCTTATTCGCAGAGTACTCGGGTGGAGTTTGACCTGCCGGAATATTCTGTCCGTCGAAGATACCAGGATTTTGACTGGTTGAGGAACAAACTGGAAGAATCGCAGCCCACTCATCTCATTCCCGTAGGTACTAAGTCACTAAAGCTTATTACTCACTTTCCTGCATTTTCTTCCCTGAGACTGTTCACTCAACTCTCACCCCTTCAATTATGGGCAAACTCTGCCTTGCATTTTAGGCCAGTTCCCCCATCAAATGTTTATGGACACCGTGTAAATATATATTACCCTTTGGGCTTGGCTTTCTCATTTGCTATATAGTATGCCGGTTTCTTGAGTGGGATGGCGTAGTTCTTCACTTCCATTATGACAATTTTAAAAAAATAAATATTGTTGAAAGAATTACACGTTTCCCTCTTTTTCTCCCTTTGGCCCTCTCTAGCCCTCCGCCAGCCCCTGCCCCAGGTCTTCACCACCCTATTGTCTGTGTCCATGGGTTATGCATCTTTGCATACAAGGTTTATGGTTGATTACCTCCCAACCACCCACCCTTTCCCGCCTTCCTTCCGAGATTCCGCACTCTGTTCCATGCTGCTGGATCCACTCCATTCATCCGGTTATTTTGTTAATTAGGTTCCACATATGAGCGAGATCATGTGATGCTTGTCTTTCTGTAACTGACTTATTTCACTTCCATTATGACAATTTTTGAAGTATGGAGAGTTTTAGTTCTCATTTGCTGCCCCTTTAAAGACTGTTTCCCCTTCCTAGACACTGTTCCTGAGGTTTGGACAGCTGCCACCAGGTGCAGGATGCTGCCTCCCTCGCCGCTGCTGGGCTTTCTTTAGACGTGGGTAATTCAGGGAGCAGGGATCTAGCACACGGTCCACTCCACCAGTTCTCCATTTAAAAAGCAAGCCCAAAGCCACCTTACTTTTATTTATTTAAGCAGCATAATATTTATCTATTACTTATATCTTTACATTTTAAACCAGAACCAGAGTAAATAAAACAGAAAAGACTACTTAAAATCAGCATACTCATTGAGTACTTTTCTGACTACATTTATTTTTAGTGTAGAAATAATAACTGTTTACACTCCAGATGTTTCTTGGGGTTTTAGTGGCTTTAGGGCAACTTAGGTCATAAACCTCTTCAGCAGGGCTTGCTCTTTCAGTAATAGCCTTGGTTGAATAACTTCTTAGCCCTACCAATTTTCCTGTTACCACTGCTTCTTCTAACGCTTCTTTTTTACACATGGGTGGGGCGGGCTGAATACAAGCCACACTCTGGTGGTTTTCTTAGTTTTCAAGGCAAAAGCAGTCATGTTGCTGGTGCTGTGATGGGGATGATGGGAGGTGGCTGGGCCTCTGTTCCTTCTCAGAGACCTACCCCACCCTCTACCCCTACCCCCCACCTCCTCCATCCCATCCCCACCATGTATCCCCTCTGCTCTCCAAGCCTGGAGTTTTGCTTTTCTGTCTTATAATCACTTAAAAATGTGCCCAAAGAAAAAAACTATAGCTTTGAAGCCATTGGAACTATTCCTTAAAATAGAATCTTTAAAAAAAAACCTTAATTTGGCAAAATTGGCAGCTAGCGGATTTTTAAAAAATAGACTTTATTTTAGAACAGTTTTAGAACTCCAGAATTATTGCAAGGATAGAACAGTGCGTTCTCCTACACCCCACACTGTTTTGCTTATTAACACTTTAATATGGCGCATTTGTCACAGAGAGCGAACCAGTCATGGTACATTATTGCTTCCTGAAAGCCCTTTATTTCTGGGTTCTCCGTTTTTGCCTAATGCCCTTTTGTCTGTCCCAGGGTCCCATCCAGGACACTGCATTACATTCAGTCCTCAGGTCCCCTTAGGCTCCTCTTTTTTATTTTATTTTTTATTGATTAAGGTATTACATATGTGTCCTTATCTCCCATTGCTCCCCCAGCCCCAGTCATGCCCTCACCTCACCCTCACCCCTGTTGTCTGCTCCTCTTGACTGTGATGGTTCCTCAGGCTTCCCTTGTTTTTGATGACCTTGGGAGTGCTGGGGTGTGCTGCTCAGGCATCTTGTACAGTGTCCCTCAGCTGAGATGTATGTGATGTCTTCCTCATGATTCGACCAGGGTAATGCGTTTTGGGGAGGAAGAAGCACAGAGGTACAGTGCCTTTCTCCTTGCATCTTATCAAGGGTCCACACTGTACACTGTAGGTATGACTGTTGATGTTCACCTTGATCTCCTGACTTGAGGTAGTGCTTGTCAGGTTCTCCACTGCGGTTACTCTTGTTTTCTCCCCCTTTCCATCCTGTACTCTTTGGAAGGAAGTCGCTTTTTTTTTTTTTTTTTTTTTTTTTTAATATATTTTATTGATTTTTTACAGAGAGGAAGGGAGAGGGATAGAGTTAGAAACATCGATGAGAGAGAAACATCGATCAGCTGCCTCCTGCACATCCCCACTGCATATCGATCAGCTGCCTCCTGCATCCCCACTGGGGATATGCCCGCAACCCAGGTACATGCCCTTGACCGGAATCGAACCTGGGACCCCTCAGTCCGCAGGCCGACGCTCTATCCACTGAGCCAAACCGGTTTCGGCATGGGAAGTCGCTTTTTATGCGGAGCCCACACTGTGTGCTCTAGGGGACTTGTGCTTCATCTCCTGACAGATAGTGTCGAGTAACACTCCCTCCACGTTCTGTGTGGAGTAGGGTTTGGTATCTGAAAGAGGAGCCGCACAGCAAATGAGAGGAAAAGACACGAGATAATTTGGAAATGTCGGGGGACCAGGCGGGAAAGTCCAACTCAAGGAGAGAGACTTCCTCCTATGCTCTGGCCTCTCCAACCTTTTATTTTGTCTGGGGTAGCCCTAGGGTAAGGAGGTTTGTCTGGGGTAGCCCTAGGGTAAGGATGTTTGTCTGGGGTAGCCCTAGGGTAAGGAGGTTTGTCTGGGGTAGCCCTAGGGTAAGGATGTTTGTCTGGGGTAGCCCTAGGGTAAGGAGGTTTCAATGACACACAGATTAGGTCATAACATCACCCTTAGGCAATTTACATGATTAAAGGTAGGGAGGTTGCTTCAGCTATCATTATCTAGATTAACTGGGTAGTACCTAGATTAACTGGGTGGTACACAGCCCTGACCTTTGCTAGGGCTTTCAAATGTTACTAGCTTTTGGGGGTCCTTGTCTATACTCAGCTAGTGAATACAGTAAATGGTTTCCGGCAGATAGTGCATTTCAGGTTTAGTGCTTAACCATCAAAGGTTAGATAGCAACCCCTGCTGGTGAAATAGTAGCACTCATGGGCAGGCTTTGAAGCCAGAACTGAAAGAGAATGGAAGAGTCTCCAGAATACTTAAAATGAAATGATCCAGAGTATCTTTAAGTATGGTTTCCTATGGTCTGGGTAGAAGCAGTGAGGAGGAAGGGGTTTTAGAAGTAAGTGGAAACTTAAATTTCTTCATAAATTCTTAATATATATCTGGGCTGCAGAGAGATTTTTTTTATTGATTTTAGAGAGGTAGGGAGAGGGAGAAAGAGATAGAAGCATCAGTGATGAGAGAGAATCATTGATCAGCTGCCTCCTGCATGCCCCCTACTGGGGATTGAGCCCACACCCAGTCATGTGCCTCAACTGGGAATCGAACCATGACCTTCTGGTTCATAGGTCGATGCTCAACCACTGAGCCACGCCGGCCGGGCTGCAGAGAGATTTAATATAGGAGAGCATCACTGACTGAAGCAGGAAACAAGAAAAATTTTCCCCTATAGAAATTCATTTTGCAGCAACTTTGCTAGGAGGTGTCTACCTGTTATTAAGCATCATCTTTGTACCCTGGGAAGGCGAGGGTTATAAGACAGACAAGAAACTCCCACCCTGAAGAGTTTATTGCCAGTTGGAAACCCACTACACTTACTCAATGTAATCATTGTATAAGTTTTCATTTATTTTTCAAAAATGAGATACAATTATTATACCACACAATTCACCCGTTTAAAATGTTCAAGTCATGGGCTTTTCGTGTTTCATAAGTTACACACCCATCAGCACAATCAGTTTTAGAACCGTTTTATCACCCCCAGATGAAATCTCCTGCTCCTTTCACTTCCAAACCTTGTCTTCCCTAGTGCCTGGCACCCGCCAACCTACTTTCGGTCGCTATGGAATCGCCTAATCGGGACATTTCATATAAGTAGAATCATACGCTCTGGAGTATTCTGTGAGTGGATTTTTTCACTTAGCATAATGTTTTCAAGGTTCATCCGTGTAGTAGCATGTATCAGTACTGATTCTTTTTATTGTTGAATAGTGTTCGATTGTGCGGATATGCCACATTTTGTCTGTCTACTCACCTTTGATGGACATTTGATTTGTTTTCACTTATTTGCAATTATGAGTAATGTTGCTATGAACATTCACGTGCAAGTTTTTGTTTCCTTGGGTGTATCCCTAGGAGTGTAATTGCTAAAGCATATGTAACTCTACACTTAACCTTGGGAGGAACTGCCAGACTGTTTTCCAAGGCGGCTGCATCATTTCACATTCCCACCAACAGTGTGTGAGGATTCCAGTTTCTCCACATCTTCATCAACATTGGTTATAATCTATTTTTGGTTATTGCCATCCAAGTGGGTGACCAGGGCACGTTTTATTTTTTCAAGATGAACTTTAGGATCTTTTGAATCAGTGGGAAAATTAGGGGGGAGAGTGGTGAGTTTCTGATTTTTGTTTGTTTATGCCAACTTAAGTCAATTATGATGAAAAATGTGTGAGAGTTCTTGAGCTTTCAGACGCTACTGCTTATGTTAGGAGCATGGAGATAAAGTTCCCACTCTACCTGGGCTCCAGTGGGGTCATGTGAAGTTGTAGGTGAACAGCCAGCCAAGCTCTGGGGAGGCACCCAAGTTCTATCCTTTGTCTTTCCCTATTGGCTGCCTGGAGGCCTGCCTTTGTTTCTAGGCTCTGAACTTGGCAGCTTCTGGGGCTCAACTGGAGAAACCCAACCCCTTACTTCCGAAGCCTACCTTTCCTTTGCCTGAGATGGTTGATACCGATTGACTTTTCTCTCCACCCAAGCTTTTCTGCTTTGTGTCTTTAACAAACTCTGTCCTGTTAACAGTATGTTTTCTGGTGCTGCAACAGATTTTTCTCTTTTTATATTGCATTGTTCCTTTGGAATTTTAAAGCAGAAAGAAATAATCAGACGTTCTTAAAATGCCATCTTAAAACTAGAAGTGTGCTGTATGTGTGTGTTTGTTAGCATGTAATCGCATAGAGAAAAGAAAAGAGAGAGAGAGAGAGAGAGAGAGAGAGAGAGAGAGAGAGAGAGAGAGAGAAATGTTGATGTGAGAGAGAAACATTGACCTGTTGTTTCCTGTATGCACCTTGACCGGGGATCAAACTCACAACCAGGATGTGTGTCTTAACCTGGGTATGTGTCCTGACTGGGAACTGAACCGTCCGCCTTTTGGTACACAGGATGACACTCTAACCAACTGAGCCACACTGGCCAGGGCAAGAAATGTAAATATTTTAAGATTAAACCTTGAAATATTTAATGGATTATTATAATGCTTTGCAAATAGGATTTTTGGTAGGTCCCAACATATATATATATATATAGTTGTTGTTTTTATTTTGTTTTTTTGTTTTTAGGAATTGGGTGGGGAGGGAAGGAACACCAACTGGATGGTCTGCACAATATTTTGTAATCACTACTACTATCTAATTCCAGAACATTTTCATTAGCCCCCAAAGAAATCCCCTACCCATTAAGCAATCACTTCCCATTCTCCAGCCCAACTCTTATGAATAATGCTGCTTGGACATTTATTGTACAAGTTTTTTTTTTGTTTTTTTTAAAAACACCTGATTTCAGTTATCTTGGCTGTACACCAAGGAATGGAATGGCTGGATCATATGGTAATTGTATGTTTAATTATTTGAGGATTCACCAAACTTCCACAGTGGCTGCACCATTTTGCATTCTCACCAGCAATGTATGAGGATTCTAGTTTCTCCATACTTGACAACATTTGTTATTCTCCTTTTACTTTTTTAAAAAAATATATTTTATTGATTTTTTTACAGAGAGGAAGGGAGAGGGATAGAGGGTTAGAAACATCGATGAGAGAGAAACATTGATCAGCTGCCTCCTGCACACCCCCTACTGGGGATGTGCTCGCAACCAAGATACATGCCCTTGACTGGAATCGAACCTGGGACCCTTCAGTCCTCAGGCCGACGCTCTATCCACTGAGCCAAACCAGTCAGGGCTTTCCTTTTACTTTTATTTTATAGCCATCCTAGTGGTGTGAAATGGCATCCCAGATGATTTTAAAAAAACATTTTGGCCTAAAAGATGTATGGAAGTTCCACTTTTTAGTTCATTCTCCTTTTTTTGCTTCCTGTTTTCAGTGTTTATAATATCCACCATGTGCTGGGAACTGTGTTGAACTTTTCACTCTGTGTCTCATTTAGAGTATAGATGCCCTTGATGGAACCAGTATAGAACTAGTAACCCAGATTCCTATGCATAAATAACCAGGAAGTCAATGATAAAGGTAAGGTTGAGAGTGTGTCCCTTTAAGGAAGCTTGGAAATAGGAAGAAACAAATTTTCAAAGTCATGTACATTTGGGAATAATAATGCTTATTACAGGAGGTAATTCTGTTTGCAGAAGAGTTCCTTTAAATAGCAAACTTCCCCGATTCATTAAGCATAAAGTTCAACATACTACATCTGAAGAATGGATAAGTATTTCAGGAGGTTACCTGTTATGTTATATGAGGCACACCTAACCTTTTAATTGCTCATTAGGCCTTCCCAAGTCCTGTTCAGCTTAAGGAAATGAGAGTATGCTCAACGGGACTTATGAGGTAAGAACAGAAAAATATCCACTAAACTTGGTAATTAGAAAGTCACTGCTCATCTTTAAAAGAACAATTTCTGCATTGGGTGAGGTGTGGCAGAGAAAAGCAGCATGGAAGGTAGTACCAAGGACAGCTTTGTTTTGGGGTAGAGGAAGGTTGGGGGTTGAGAAATCAATGGAAAGAGTGGAAGTAAAGATAAATGATTTTTTCAAAAAGGTTGAATGAGACAGGAGGGGAGTAGAGAGGATATAAGGTCAAAACATTATTTTTTTCAGGTAGAAAAAGAACTATACATATATATATATATTAAAAACAAAACAACAAAAACATATTTTTGTTGTTTTGTTTTTAATATATATATTTTAATTGATTTCAGAGAGGAAGGGAGAGGGGGAGAGAGATAGAAACATCAATGATGAGAGAGAATCATTGATCGGCTGCCTCCTCCACGCCCCACACTGGGGATCGAGCCTACAACCCAGACATGTGCCCTGACAGGGAATCGAACCATGACCTCCTGGTTCATAGGTTGACGCTCAACCACTGAGCAACACCGGCTGGGACTAGATACATTGTTGTAGACTCAGGGAGTAGAGCTGGATGAGGAGGAGATGTTCTCCACAGGGACCTGAGGAATGGAGGTGAGGGTGGTGCCCAGTAGATGGGTTTCTGTGGGGGAAGCAAAATGGTTAGGGAATTTCCATGTGCTGTCCTTAGACCTGGTTCCTCCTTCAGAGAGATGGTAATCTGCTTAGCATGAAATGTAGGTGATTGAGTGTAGGGTTTCAGGAGGATGGCTGTCTAGGGGAATGAGAGATGAATAGAGCAGAGCAAAGGAATTATCCTAAAGGACAACCATACCCTGCTAAGGCAGCTTCTCTGCTTCCGGAACATTGGGCTGGGTGGCCTCTGAGCTGGCCATGCATTTCTAATGTTCTACCCCAGTGTGGACATCTGACTTGGACATGTTATCCCCATGTGGCTCTGTCATTTTATTCCTGACTCTTCTCCCCTAAGAGCTCTTCTTTATTACTAACCCTTCCCACTGTGCCCTCTAGAACTCCTTCTCTGTTAAAAAGAAATCCCTCAATTCTTCGCCTCTTCTCCAAACACTCCTGCCGTCTCAAGGTTTACCTGAACAGTAGTCCCCTGAAGTTGCGGCCACTCCTACAGCCAAAAACACACAAACTTCTATCAAGTGTCTGCTCAGTGGCAGGAGCTGTTGGAAGCACAGTCAACCTCATAGCTAATGTAATCCTCATGAGGTTGGTACTATTGTTTTCCATTTTTTACAGAAGAAAAATCTGAGGTACCAAGAGATTATAGAACTTCACCAAAGTCAAACACTTTGGCAGAGGTGAAAGAGGATCCCATGGGGCACGGTGCCGGAGTCTTTACTCTCGAGAACTGAAACACAGTGACTCTGCAAAGCTTTTCCAAGTGTTCACTTCCAGGGGTGCTGGTGTTGCCAGTTCCTAAGTCTTTCTAAGGTTTCGTGTTGTCAGTCTGGGTTGCTTCTTGTCTTTCCTGCTCCACTTGAGTGACTTAGTACTCCCCTTCTTTGGGATGGCCGAGTCCTGGTTGCTGTATCTTATTTCTGATCTTGTTTTTTGTTTTTGTGTGGGTTTTTGTTGTTGTTGTTGTTCTTGAGGGTTAATACCTTAAAAGAAAACATCTCTTTACGGCCATATGACGGAGTTTGAACAAGTTGTGGATTTAAATACTGGTTCCAGTTTTTTCACACCCTTGAAAACACTTGGTGTGTTTTTTTTTCTTCTTTCTTTTTAAAATTATGGCCATCCTAGTGGGTATGAAAGCGTATCTCATTGTGGTTTTGGTTTGTATTTCTCTAATGACGAATGATGTTGAGCATCTTTTCATGTGCTTATTGGGCCATTTGTTTATCTTGTTTGGAGAAATATTGACCAGATCACTTTCTTATTTTTTTATGTAAATACTCTTTTAATATTTCATAACTAGTACATTTCAAATTGTGCGTTAGCAAATACTCTCTTTCCCTGTGGTGGCAATAATGAGGAAGGCCTTTTAATTTGATCAAACTACTACCGAAATAGGTTAAAGCTCAGAGATCCTACAGTGGCCAGGTAGTTTGAAATTATCCACAATATTGGCTTAAAGAAAATATGATAAAGAAATTTGTTTGTGTAAGGGAAATAAAGGAAGTTACATTTTAAAGAACCTTTTAGTATAAACCTAAACAAAAAGGGGGAGAAGGAGAGGTTTTTTTTGTTTTTTTTTTAGTTTTTTTTTTTTATATATTTTATTGATTTTTCACAGAGAAGAAGGGAGAGGGACAGAAAGTCAGAAACATCGATGAGAGAGATCGATCAGCTGCCTCCTGCATGCCCCCCAGTGGGGACGTGCCCGCAACCAAGGCACATGCCCTTGACCGGAATCGAACCCGGGACCCTTGAGTCCGCAGGCCGACGCTCTATCCACTGAGCCAAACCGGTTTGGCGGGAGAGGTATTTTTTAAATAACATGTACTTCTTTCTCTATCCACCAAAGTCTTTTACCTCTTGAGCTGGGAGTAGAATCTTATTATATTTAAATACATTTCTGTGTGGTTGATGTTTCTGTGTCTTTCCTTAGACTATTTTATCTTGTTCTAACTTTCTCATTATACCATCTGTGCCTCAAGCAATGTGAAGGTAACTGACTATTGAATTTACTGGATAAACGCTGACTGACTGTTTTCTGTAATCCAGGAACTATGCTCTAGTGTTTTATTTCTTGCATTTAAAAACTGACCAGGTAGTTTTGATTTATTCTCTCTATATTTTAAAAAAATGTTTATATTGATGACTATCTTCTTAAAGATCTGAGCAGTTAAGAAATTCTATTCTTGGGCAGATGGGTCATAGGAATGATTTGCTAGCCTGGTGGCTTTTCCTTGCACAATTTTATCAGTTGCTGTGAATATTTTTCTTCCTGTCTTCATAGCCGCTTCCCGAAAAGTTTGTGGTGAAAGGTGTTGTGGACCGTTTTTCGGAAGAGTTTGTGGAGACCAGAAGGAAAGCTTTGGATAAATTCCTAAAAAGAATTACGGATCATCCTGTACTTTCTTTCAATGAACACTTCAATGTTTTTCTTACTGCTAAGGTAAGGACAGATTTTTTTTCGTATTCCTTCCCCCAAAACAGCATTCTCCAGCGCTTTCTTAAAAGTTGTTTCCATCTCTCACAAGCCACCTTCATGAATGGCCCACTGTTGTGGGTGTCATTGAATACCCTGTGTTTTTGGTGCCCTTTGCATCAGCATGGTTGCTGTGATAGAATTTAGGAGAAACAGTCCCTTGCATCAGCAGAGGAAGTTAGAATATTTTCACTTGCCATAAGCAGGGAGAAATGTTTCTTTAAACACTTCCTATTTATTTAAATACTTCTTGGCACATGACTGGGTGAGGCCATTCTGACCAAGAGTCAGAATGGTGTGCAAGACTCAGAGCACTTATGCGTATTTGGCAATGATGCTCTTCACAAGGGCCCTGTGCGTGTTTCCTTGTACCCCATTTCACAGAGGAGGAAACCAGTTCGAGGAGTTTGTACAATTCAAGTGGCATCACTAGGACTTGAAATTGGGTCTTTGTGGCCCCTCAGGTCACATTTTTCCTCTGTAACAACTGCCTGACCAAGAGGAGTTCAGCATGACTTGCCCACAGCCAAGTTTCTAATCAGGTGGGCATTTCCCAGCCGTGGCCAGAGAAGTAGTTGGATTCTCCCCAGTCGCCAGATTCTGTGTATTCAAATTCAACTCGACTTCTCTCTGCACTTCCCTGTTGGCAGGCCCGGCCAGCAGACCTGCGGTGCTCTCCTCTAATTGTCTGTAGGAATGTGACCTCGTGCCAGCTTCCTTCCAGCTCCTTCCTTTTAGTTTCATGTATCATATTCCCATATTCAGGACACAGGTAATTTTTCCCATGGTGCAAATGTATTGAGGGCCAGGTACTTTCCAGTGTTCTTTTTTGAAATGGCAAAATTGAGAACTATTTGCAGATAATATTAGTTGACATTGAAGTCTTTAGAAGATGGTGTCATTCCAGACAATGGAAATCACATGTCAGAGTCCTTGAGTGTTTGAGGTTGTTGTTTTTAAACCTCAGTTGGCTTTTAGCCTCATCAATGACAATTCCCATTCATCTTCCCTTTTTCCGGGAGGCCTTTTCCCCAACAGGTCAAACTTGTGTTATTTTTTAAATAAGTATTTTTTGGTGACCTGTCCCCAGATATAGTTCTTTCAGCTTATATAAAGTAAACTCCGTCCTGTTCTTCAAGGTACAACTCACTGATTCACTCAAATTATAGGTCCACTGGCCAGGCAGGCCCTCAAGCTTAGTCATTTTAATTACACAGAGAGGTAAAGGGGTGGTGGCGGGGGGAACTTGGGCCCTGGTGATGGGGAGTCTGTGTGAAGAATAAATAGAAAGGTGTGTGTGTGTGTGTGTGTGTGTGTGTGTGTGTGTGTGTGTGTAATTTATCTGTGGAACAGGCAGTATGCAATGATTTTTAAAAAATAGTTCTTCAATGTCTTAATCAAAATCTAAATTCATATGAGTGAGTAAGAGGAGTTGGTTTGTTTAAGCAGAACAAAGTCTAGCCCTAATCAGTGTTACTTGTTGAACTACATGCATTAAATGACCCAATGTTTTCTTTTTAATTTATTTTATTTATTTTTCACAGAGAGGGAGGGAGAGGGATAGAGAGTTAGAAGCATCAATGAGAGAAAAACATCTATCAGCTGCCTCCTGCACATCTCCTACTGGGGATGTGCCCACAACCAAGATACATGCCCCTGACCGGAATCGAACCTGGGACCCTTCAGTCCACAGGGCGACGCTCTATCCACTGAGCCAAACCGGTCAGGGCCCAATGTTTTCTTTTTAATTATGGTAAAATACATATAACATAAAATTGACTCTCTTAACCACTTGAAAATGTACAGTTCATTAATGTTAAGTATATTCACATTGTTGGACAGAACTTCTTCATCTTGCGGAACTGAAACACTGTACCCATTAAAGAACAACTCCCCATATTCCCATCCTTTCATCTCTCCAGCACCCCACCTTTTCTTTTAACACATCAGCAAAAACTTAGTCCTGTTCTTAAATTACCCACCTGCGCGTTCTGCCACAGTGAATGCAGAAGCATCCTTCTCCTTGTGATGACATGATCTTATCCCAAACCAGAAGCGTCTTGAAGCAGCAGCCAGGAATGCTGGGAGTGGTAGGGGACACTCAATATCAACTATGTTCAAATCTGTGTTTTCATCGTTGGCAGAATGGGTGCAACAGTCAGAGAGGTACTATAAATAACTGTTCAGCATGTTAATGAACCTGGATAACTGGCGTTGCCCTTTCAAAGCTCTACTCGAACTAGAGCGCATGTAGTTCAAGGAGCCCTTTTGGACCTAGCCTTACACCAAAAAACACTGTCTATGGAAGCAATGCTGAGAATTCCAGGGCTTCCTTATGGTCTTGTGAAAGCCTGGTGCTTATGAGGATATTTTGGGGGGGTCTAGAACGTCTGAAGTTAGAACAGGAAATGGATTCTTTAGAACATTCTCTCAGGCAGCCAGACTTTGAAAACAAGGAAAGAAGTAGAGGATGGGGGCTGGAGGTGGTTTCTGCTGTTTTTAAGATGGGCAAGCCTTGGGTATAGTTTACATGTTGAAGGAATAGAAGTTGAAAATACAGACAGGGGAGGGGAAGGGTAGTTGGAGTGGGGTGGATAAGAAAGGGTGGAATCAAGAGCAAAAGTGAAGGCCCTGACTGCATGAAGAAGGAAAAGGAAGTGAAATCAGGAGGAGTCTACACTTCAGCCACAGAGATCCAAGCTCTGATTGTGTGTCAAATGGGACGGCTGTGTTCACTGTGATTCCCTGTTCTCTGTCCTATCCCTACATCAGACAGGGTCACCAGAAAGCAGTGGTCCCCTATCTCCCTGTGGACATGCCTTTCTAGGACTAGGAATTAACATTCTGTTTGTACTGAGAATGGACAGAAGGAACAGACACCTGCATCTTCTATCTTCTTGAACAGGCACCGTTCAAGTTAGGGGCATAGAACAATCTAAGACACTGTCAGCTCCTCTTAGAGTTTAGCGATAGGAAGAAGCTTGTTTTACCTGGCAGACTAATGTGATTTTTAAACTGAGATACAATGGTTATGTTGCTCACTGTATTTCCCATGTATGCCTTGACCAAGAAGCCCAACATGCAATGTTTTGTTACAGCAGCTGCCCTTGCCCTGAGTTTTCTTGCCCTGGCTTTTCTGTCCCCATGTCTGGCTTCCCACCCTTTACTCTCTACTTATTTGGCTTTGGTTGAGATATAAATAAATGAATGGAATGAATTTCAGTCCTTGAATTTTGGTTCTAAAGACAACTTAGGATATTTTGCAAGGGAGGAAGGGACTTTTTGTTTTTGGTCAAAGTTTTTTAAAAATGATGTTGGAAACACAGTGTTGTTTAAAGGAGAGCGTGCTCAGGTAAGTGAACCTGATTAAAAAGGCAGGCCATGAGCTTGGTGGACGTGATGGCAAGGAGAGGGCACCTTTATGTATGTGGTTAGTCCTCTAACTCAGCTCCTTATTTTCTGAGTCCTCCCGTTTCCAAGAGCAACTGTCTGATGGAGTTGGTTACTGAGTCCTGGCTGTGTGAGCGATTGAGCCCTTCGAGTTTGTTCATCTGTCATCCTTAGGACCTGAATGCCTACAAGAAGCAAGGGATGGCGCTGCTGACCAGAGTGGGCGAGTCGGTCAAGCATGTCGCCGGAGGCTACAAGCTGAGGAGTCGGCCTCTGGAGTTTGCAGCCATCGGCGAATACTTGGACACTTTTGCACTCAAACTGGGAACCATAGATCGGATAGCCCAGCGGATCATCAAAGAAGAAATAGGTGAGCTCTTTGTTGCGAGTTTGATTGTGCCCAGGGACCACATTTGCAGAAATGTCAGTCGTGTGCTAAGTAGAATCAAATGCGGAAGCACTGGAGTGATGGAACCAGGCCACGTTCTGCTTATAAAACTAATAAGTAAATACAAGGAAGGGAGGAGGTAGTTGTGAGCAGAGTATAACCTGTGCTTCCTCCTTTGCCTTGCGTTTCAGCCTAGTGTTGGCTTTCCCCAGGGCAAACAACCACCTCTGAGTATCTAGGCTCTCCCACTTCCCCCTCTTAACTTTAGCTTTAGAAGTGGAGATACTGACTCAACCTCCCTTCATTAATAAGAATGATGGTTTAAAGACAAACTCCGGTATCTTCTGGCAGAAAGGTGGTTCAAAAGGACAAAAGACCTGGCTGGCATGGCTCAGTGGTTGAGCATCAATTTGTGAACCAGGAGGTCACGGTTCACGTCCCAGTCAGGCCACATGCCTGGGTTGCAGGCTTGATCCCCAATATAGGGCATGCAAAAGGCAGCTAATCAATGATTCTCTCTCATCGTTGATGTTTCTATCTATCTCTCCCTCTCCCTTCCTCTTTGAAATAAAAAAAAGGACAAAAGGACAGTGTGGTGACCTGTGTTTGCCGAAGTTATGATCCTAACGAGCCCTGCTGCATTTCAAACCCGCTCTCCCTGGCCTGGGGAGTTGTGAGGCCTTTTTTTAATTCATCCTGGCTGTTCTTCCACTTCCTCCCCACCCCTCTCGTGGTCACTTGCTTTTCTGTATCCCAGAATGTTGGGGCCTTTTGCCTTCTTACACACATGTGAGCCAAACATACCTGAACAGTATTAATGAACATGCTGGCAATGATATGAAGCACATTGGAAAGGATTCTCCAATAGTCGCCACCCATTGGTTGCTAAAAAAAGTGGCAGTGACATTTTATTGTCATGGCAAGAATCCTGGTGACAATGATGAGCCATATTTTCTTTGTGAGGGGAAATAACATTTATCTTGGTTCCTGTGATTTAATTCTCCTTTACACACTGATGGCATCATGTGGAGCCTGCAGGTTTGGGAGTTAGCTGTAGGTACCATCCACATCTAAGGACCAGAGGCTGGGATAACCCCTGAGTGAAAGACTGAGTCTGCCTGTGTAAGACCACATCTCCTGTATCAAATGTTTCCTAAAATTCCATTTTTCCATTGTGACTGATTTAAAAAAAATACCCCCACACATCCCCTAAACCTATAGGAAACTCTGCCACCACTGTTAAAATAGTGCTTCACTGTGTGAGTAGGAGAGTGGTTATTTTTTTAGGTATTTGATGGATGTAGTTTCTACCATTTACCCCCAGAAGGCAGTGTGGTCCTCATTACCCAGAAGCATGGCATTCTCATTATGGGGTGGAGCTGATTGTTGCATCAGCTTTTAGAAATTAAAAAATTGTTATAAGCAATGTTGTGTTCAAAGAGGAGCATGATCAGGTGAGTGAACACATCTTGGTTACTGAGTCCGTAATACCAGTGACTACTGCCCAGCCAAGCTTATTGGTTCCTCTTCCCGCTTTAGAGTACCTTGTGGAGCTCAGAGAATATGGGCCCGTGTACTCCACGTGGAGCGCGCTAGAGGGGGAGCTGGCTGAACCCCTGGAGGGCGTGTCAGCGTGCATCGGCAACTGCTCCACAGCCTTGGAAGAGCTGACAGATGACATGACAGAAGACTTTCTGCCTGTGCTCAGGGAATATATTTTATACTCTGACTCCATGAAGGTAAGCTGGCTCCCTTCTTGTGCACTTAGGTACTTTTTTGGTTATAATTATTATCAAAAAAATCAATTGATTATTGCCTATTTGCATGTGGTACAGGTTTCCTTTATCCTAGGTGGGCAGGATCAGACATGTGGATGGACATCATGGACATATAAATAGAACACATGGTGAACCAAGGATGTGAATTACATGAAAAAACTAGTTTGGAAGAAATTCTTTAATTAGTGTTCACTGAGAGTTCAAGGGGGTGTAAAGTCTTCTAAACAAGAACAGGATACTGTGGAAAAGGAAAAATTGGATAATTAGAGCTCTTGGAAGTTAAAATATGGTTGCTGAAATAAAATTGAAGAGAAAAGTTGGAAGATAAGGATGAAGAAATCTTGGAAAGTAAAACAAAGTTGTTGAAAAGTAGAATAAAAATGCAAAAATACTAAAAATGTGAAAGAATGGTCAGAAGGATTAATCTTAGAGTTTCAGCATATCTGACTGATAAGAGTTTCTGATTGAGAGAACAGCAAAAATTGAGGGAAGGAAATTATGAAAGAAATAATTCAAGACAATCTCCCAAAGCTGAAGGACATGAGTTTTTAGATTAAAAGGACATCGTAATTGCCCAGCAAAAGGAATGAACAGAGAACCAACCCAAAGCATATACTTGAGATATTTTAGAAAAAAAGTCATAAAGATGAAATTCAGGATCAAATGCTTGAATGCCCACACTAGAAAGTGCCCCAGCCTGTACCTAGGCTGTTTGGAGAGCAGGTATGTTTGTACTTAATAAATGTTTGTACTTGAAGCAGGATTTTAAATTCTCATTTAGCAAGGATTTATCTGACACCTTTTTTATTTTTAAAATATATTTTATTGATTTTTTTTTTACAGAGAGGAAGGGAGAGAGATAGAGAGTTAGAAACATCGATGAGAGAGAAACATCAATCAGCTGCCTCCTGCACATCTCCCACTGGAGATGTGCCCGCAACCCAGGTACATGCCCTTGACCGGAATCGAACCTGGGACCTCTCAGCCCGCAAGCCGACGCTCTATCCACTGAGCCAAACCGGTTTCGGCTATCTGACATCTTTATTAAAATACTTTTACACAGTGAGACATAATAAGCTTGTTTGAATAATTGAAGTTATACATCAAAGAAACACTTGTTTGCTCTCTTTCTTCACACACTGTGTGACACTTATGTATTAAGTTTCTTGTTCATTGGAGAAACATTAATTGGATTAATCAAGCAGCAATTTTCAACTGCTGTGCCATGGCAGGCACACCAGTGTGCCGCAAGAATTTTTAAAATATGCAATACCTGACTATTTAGTCAGGGGCAATGACCTTTTCCTTTACATTGTTCAATTAAAAATATTGACAACAGGCAACACAATAGCCATCTAGTATGAATGAATCAAAATTACACCTATTTTTTTGTCAGACTAGCAAAAAATATATTTTTTGGTGTACTGCAGAATTTTAGTACTTAGTGTAGTGTGACATGAGATGAAAAAGGTTGAAATTCGCTGGTCTACAGTGTTGTCTGCGGAAGGGCATGTGGAGGAAGTGTTGACTGGCAGGCTCTGAAATCCTGTCTGCCCCACGGTGAGCTGAGCTAAGTCCATTTAGAAAGAAAGAAGGCCTCCTGCTCCCCATCTTTTCAACAGGAAAGTATCTGCAGAGTGATCTGGGCAAAGCCAAGATTGCATGTAGGGTTCTCAGGGTCCGTGTGGCCAAGACTAAAGACCTCAGGAGAGTTAGGTGTCTTAAGTGGCTCCCTGGCCTTTTGACTTTACTGCTTTTTAAGAATTCTTATCTACATTTTCTTTTTCTAAGAGTGACATATAATTTTACTTCCAAAATAACGTTCTGATTTTTAAGGTATGCATGGGGCAGACTTTGTTATTCAGCGTGAAAACTAAACCTGGAATAGAGGGCTTGTGAAGGACTGCTGTCAAAACTGTTCTATATCTATCTATATAAAAGGCAAATATGCAGAGTGTCCCCTCAGGAGTTTGGAAGACTGAGAGTTCGATCACTCGCTATGACATGTGCTGACCACCAGGGGGCAGTGCGGAACATGGCAGGCAACCAGCAGCAGCGGGGCACTGAGGGAGTGAGGGAAGGAGGAGGCGGGGAACCTGATGGGTCCTGATCGCCGGCAAAGCCTAGGGACCCTACCCATGCACAAATTTTGTGCACTGGGCTTCTAGTATGAATATATATATATCTCAAAGAGGAAGGGAGAGGAAGAGAGAGATAGAAACATCAATGATGAGAGAGAGTCATTGATCGGCTGCCTGCTGCCTGCCCCACACCTGGGCATGTGCCCTGACCAGGAATCAATGACACCTCCTGGCCATTTGTCAATGGTCAACTTCTGAGCCTCATAAGCTAGGCGTGAAACCTGTTCTTATCAACCACTGAGTGATCTCCAGACCTGGGGACATCATGGTTTGGTTTTGGTAAGGAGGTAGGTGTTGGTGTGGTGACGTTTGTCAGTCTGCAATGGCCTAGAGTGAACCAAAGTGAATATTTGTCCTCATGATTTGGAGTCGGGCCTGTGCCTTAGGAATGGGAAGTAGTTGAGTGTCAGTGGAGCCCCGCGTGGAGAAAATGCTGGTGTTCACTGAAGCCCTTTCCTAATGGGGCTGAGACTGGGCTTCTTCTCTGAGGTCGAAAAGGCCTTTGGGAATCATCTCCTCTAACTTATTTCATAGATGAAGAGTCAGGGCCCCACGGGTAAATCTTTTCTCTGTCCCATGGCCACCATTCTAACAACCAGTGGCCTTGAGTCTGTGTCTTTACATCAACTAAGAAGGAAACCAGATCAGCTCGCTTTTCAAGGCCGAGTTTCAGTTGCCTCTCCTTGAGCTCAGGTATGTTTAGGGACATTCTGTTCCCTTTGGAGGTAGAGAGAAAGCACACAAAAAGGAGGGTTGCTGTCAGGCCCTGTGGAACAGGTGCACAATGTTCAGTGAACTAAGGGGACATCTCGTACTAGAGAGATGGTTGAAAACGAGTTTTCCAAGGATGCTGTGAAGTGGGAGTGAACAGTGCCCGAGAAGTAGGGATAACAAAGTTACCGTGGTGCCCAGGACTCAAGTTAAATACCCTGTAGACATCTGCAGGTGAGTCCTGAGAGGGAATTTCACATTCTATACATGGTGCGTGTGTAAAATGTAATTAGGTTAGTGATGGGCTAGGAGAGAATATCTTAGAGTTTTTACCAAATTTCTGTCAATGCTTTTTAAATATTGGCGTCATTATGACCAGGCCAAGAGCTGAAGAAGCTTTACTTAAGAAGGTTAGGGCAAGGCCATCTTGTTTCCCACATTGTCTAGTTCATAGAAGGTGGTCAGCAAATATTTAATTGAATTTGACAATGTGGTGAAGTTGAAATATTTACAGATATACAGGGTGGGGCAAAAGTAGGCTTACAGTTATGAGTACATGAAACAGAATTTATGCTTGTATTGTTATTCATTAATTATTGTTTTATTTTCCATAGGAACTGTAAACCTACTTTTGCCCCACCCTGTATAACTATAGTATGTCATGTAACTTGTTATTTTTAAGAGATAGGTGTATGTACAAGTCCAAGAGCATGCTTATTTCAGAGGTGTGGGTGAATGACTAGGGTGAGATGAGAGAAGAGCGGATGGCAGGGAAAGCCACACAGAGGAAGAGGCTTCAGTTGGAGACTCACATGACATGTAGGATTGAGCATTTTAGGCAGAAGGAATAGGCAGTGCAAAAGTTCTAAAGCAGAAATGAGCTTCGTGTCCTTGCAGGTCAGAGAGGCCAGTGTGAGTAGAGCCCAATGAACAAGGGAGGAAGTGGGAGAGGGCAAGATAGGGGCCAGGGCATATAGTAGAATTTGTATCTTTAAAGGCCATGGTTGGTAAGAGTCAGGATTTTATTATCCTATATAATAAAAGGCTAATATGCAAATTGACCAAATGGCAAAACGACCAGTCGCTATGACGTGTACTGACCACCAGGGGGCAGACACTCAATGCAGGAGCTGCCCCCTGGTGGTCAGTGTGCTCCCACAGGGGGAGTGCTACTCAGCCAGAAGCCGGGCTCACGGTTGGCAAGTGCAGCGGCAATGGCGGGAGCCTCTCCCGCCTCCATAGCAGCGCTAAGGACCCCTCGGGTGTCCCGGACTGTGAGAGGGCTCAGGCTGGGCTGAGGGACCCCCCACCCCACCCCCAATGCACGAATGTCGTGCACCGGACCTCTAGTTAGGAATAAAAGGGAAGCTATCTGGTTTTATGAAGGGGATGACAGTATATAGTTCTTCCTTTAAGAAGACAACTAGTGCTGCAGTATGGAGAATGGGTTGTAGAAAGTGGGAGTGGAGCAGGGGGACCATTTAGAAGACTGTCACAGGTAGCCAAGTGGCAGATAACCGAGGTGTCAGAGCTTACACTAAACGGTGATGGGGAAGTGGGTGGATTTGGGATATATTTTGGATGAGGCGGCCAAGTAGACCTGCTGTTGTGTTAATGTGAAGTAAGAAATGCCAATTGTTTAATTATAAGATGATTTTTTCAGCCAGCCGCCTTTCCCCTCAGGGGCCACAAGGTGGCGCTAACAAGTCAAGTAATTAGTTGATGCTTAGGTCAGTGATTTTCACCTGGTGTGCTGCAAAAATTTGTAAAGCATGCCGTATCTGACTATCTAGTCAGGGGCACTGACCTCTTTTCCCGTAGACTGTCAAATTAAAAAATGACAACAGACAACACGATAATAGTTGTCCAGTGTGATTGAATCAAAATTATACCTATTCTTTTGTCAGGTTGGCAAAAAATATATTTTTGGTGTGCCGCAGAATTTTAGTAATTAGTTTCTGTGCGCCATGAAGTGGAAAAGGTTGAAAATTGCTGCTTTAGGTTGACCAGTTCTGGTGCTTTTCAAAAACTAAAGAAATTTCTTGGAAGATTGAGTCGGGAGAGGAAAAACTCTCCTTCCTAAACAAAAGTGATTATAGATTGAGGCCC